ATTATAGTCTACGTTCAGTCCGATTTGGTTCGAGGATCGGTGTTATTTACCACTACCACTTTCAGTAGCTCTTCCTTCAGGCCCTGTATGGCTGAGGCGATTTTCATGGCATCGGGTACCTTTCCAAGGTGTGTGGACCAAAGTTCAAAGTTGGCAAAATACTCGGCCGCCGTATCCGTCTGTCTTAACTCCTGCAATTTCCTCATAGCCGTACCTGCCATGTTACTGTCTCCAAATTGAGTTCGTAAATGCTGGATGAATTTGTCGTAGCTCTCTAGCCATTCGGTCGAATTCCATATACTTGGATTGGTTATGGCCGGGGTTATAAGCATTTGAGGGGTGCCTCGAAGATACCCGTACATGAACAGGATCTTTCTGCGATCGGTGGCGTACTCTGCCCCTTTGAATTCGAAGTTCATGTGACATGCTGCAAGGAAGTTGTCCAATTCTCCTCGTTCTCCACTGAAGGTAGGCGGATCCGCACACCTGGTTCTTCCTGTTCGTTCGTTGTTGGTAAGTTTTGGCTCCAAACACGGCTTGTTTTCTTCGACTTCGATCAAACTTGCCCCTTTCGATGTGAGTATCTGTTGGTTCTGTCGGTCAGCTTTCATCGTAGCCAGTTCTTCTCTTAATGCATTTTGTTCCTTTTGTTGCATCGTCATAATGGCTAACAATTGTGACAACTGCTGCGATAATTCATTTAGCGGATCTGGGGTAGTGGTAGTAGAAGTGAGATCATGTGAAATGGTACTTCTCGAAGAACTTGTTGGTATTTCTTCCTCTGGGACCAGCCCTTGTTCCAACTCCTCTTTTTCTGGTATCATTTTCCGCGCTTTCCCTCTGGTGAGCATACAGTACTCTCCGATTCGACCCAAGGTGCGTAAGGCTGATTCTTCAACTTGTAACGGTACTGGAAACACGACGACTAGGTCGCAGGTTGGGTCGAACTCGATGGAGGTCTTGTGGAAGTCTAGGGGCTCTGGTGCTAATGGATCGTGTCTCCTCTGCAATCGATGTAGCCAAAGAATGATATTGAAGAATCAGCAAAGTTGGTACTTTGCTGATTGTACTATATACTGTCTACGGATATCCTCGCCCTTTGTCCTCTTCCTGCTGCAAGCGTCTACGTACGTACATACTCGGACAGGTGAAAAACCGCTTTGAGCAAACCCAGTGGGGAAATCTCGAAAGGGGAAAACCCGTCCCTACCTACTGCAGCACTGCCTCCAACTCCCGCTTTCCTCTGTCCTAATCCGTCGAACTCGATAGAGTCCTCTCGATTCGTTGTTACCCCGTAACATACGACCTGAGAGCTAGGCAGTGACTAAGACCTAACTTCAGAGGACAACGACAATGAAGGACAAAGTGATAGCGTAGAGTGGATTGGACGATGATGACGAAGAGCACCTCAGTGCTGAGGAAGGGTTGTATTGGAAGTCACTTAGACGAAGTGCGCGAGTGTAGCGAGCGCAAAGAGGATTGTGAAGAATGAGAAGTTTAGAAGTGTAACTTTTGAGAATTCATCGATGAGGAAGAGGTCTCACGGAGGGGGTATTTATACCCTTGCGCCTCCACCTCGCCTCCACTTTCTATCTGACCATGAATCCAGTAGTACTGGATCTGTGGTGAAAAACTGATTCAGCAATTGACCAATGATCCAGTAGTACTGGATTGTTGGTTAAAAGCTGACTAAGCTATGATGTCATTGCTGAATAAGCAATTGACCAAGGATCCAGTTGTACTGAACTCTTGGTTAAACTCTGTCACGAACTACGTCGTGACACCTCAATTATTCCATAAGCAATGACCCTCCTTTGACCATCAAAACCCCCATCACGACTCAACCTCCTTATTCTACACGTAACTCAGGACATCTGAGACCAAGTACGGCGAAGTTAGACTAAGTTAGGTTAGGTAGGGACAATGGGAGCAGAAGTACGGCGAAGTTAGGCGGAGTTAGGCTAGGTAGGGACAATGGGAGTAGAAGTGCGGCGAAGTTAGGCGGAGTTAGCCAAAGGAGGAAGAGGATGGCCGGGGTTCGGGGAAGTTGGACGAAGTGCGTTGAAGTACGTCAAAGCGCGAGAGGGTTGGATGAACGTCTAGGAGGGATAGATAATATTAGCTGAGAAGATTGCTGAAGTTCTTCAGCGATCCTTGATTGTTGTCAGTAGAAAAAGACAGATAGAGATAGCTATAAATCGAGATACATCGCCATCAGTAGAACAAAGCCTTAGTTAGAGTAACTACGCCGAAGTACGCCGTAGTTACACCCCTTTCGACGTCTGCGCCCTCCCGGTTGGGTGAGACATCGACTCAGAAGCGTGAAGTTAGCCGAGGTTCGTCGACCGTCGGTCTATAAGGAAGGAATTGCTCGACGGCCGTGACAAACTCTGATAATCCTAATTCTCCTTTGTCACCCTAATCCCACGTCATCATGTATGACCTGCTCGTGCAGTGTCATAACAGGTACTGAGGTGTTGGGTTAGAACCAACTAGGTGACTTTCAAAGATGAAGTTCAACTTCAAGATGAAGATACATTGCTGAAGAAAGAGGGGGGAGATGTGCTCCTTTTATACCCTTCAAAACTAAAGTAGGTGTACTAAATAAAAAGCGTGTGAGGGATTTTCTAGCCAATCACGTAAATGCCTCAAAGTGAGTGCACCGCGGGAAACTAAATCCAGCCAATCACATAAATGCCTCACTGCTAAACTGCTAAATACCATGACTCATATTTGCCTTCAATCCTTATCACAGTTCCTAGCATGAGTCATATTTCCTTATCACTATTCTGAGCATGAGTCAGAATTCCTTATCACTATTCATGACACCACACCATCACACAGACCCTTATCGTCATCTCGACCTGCCCGGATCCTTTGCAAGTCACTTTAGCTGTCCGACCACATCACAAGTCTATGGACAACATACTGACCGTCGTTGTCCAAGCTAACTAAACAATCATAGTCCACCTGTCTCTGATCTATTGAGGTCAGCCAGGGAAGGGACAGGTCCGTGACACACTCTCTCTCTTCATCCTTTTACATCACTTCATCCTCAACTCTTCTCTCTTCATCACATGTCTGTCACGAACTACGTCGTGACACCTCGATTACTCCACCAACAATGACCCTCCTTTGGCCATCAAAACCCCATCACGCCTTAACCTCTTTACTCTGCACGTAACTCAGGACTTCTGACACCAAGTACGGCGAAGTTAGACGGAGTTAGGCTAAGTAGGGACAATGGGAGCAGAAGTGCGGCGATGTTAGGCGGAGTTAGTCGAAGGAGGAAGAGGATGGCCGAGGGCTCGGGGAAGTTGGACGAAGTGCGTTGAAGTACGTCAAAGCGCGAGAGGGTTGGATGAACGTCTAGGAGGAGTAGATAATATTAGCTGAGAAGATCGCTGAAGTTCTTCAGCGATCCTTGATTGTTGTCAGTAGTGAAA